AAAAGCAGCCATGTTTCAAGAGAAAAAGATTTCCTTATAAAGAACAACAAATAAACTTCTCAACAGCAGCAATGGAAGCCAAAATATAATAAATAGAATGGTATCTTAAATATTCAGAAAGAATATAACTGCCACGCAAGAATTCTATAGCCATCAAAAATATCATTCAAGAACGAGAATGAAATAAAGCATTTTTCAGAAAAACTAAAACAGAAAGTATATCATTAGCAGACCTCTCACTCAAGAAAATTATAAAGGATGTACTTCAGGCAAGAGAAAAGAAATCTCAAATGAAGAATCCAAGATCCGAGAAAGAATGAAAGCACAGAAAGTGGTAAACATGTAAGTCTAAATAAATGTTGACATATTGAATAATAATAACAATGACTTACAAAATTCAAAAATTGATAGATTTAAAATCCACAGCAACAATAATACATAAATCAGAAGGGAGGTAAACAGAGTTAAAGGACTGTAAAGTCCTTGCATGATTTAGGAGGAGAGAAAGGTAGTTATAAACTTTATTATTGTTGTTATGTGCTCTTGAGTTGGACACGATTCATAGCGACCCGTCCTTGGGTTTCTGAGGCAGTATCACTATGGAAGTAGATTACCCAACCTTCCTTCCAAGGAATGGCTGGTGTGTTTGAATTGCCAGCATTCTGGTTAGCAGTCAAATGCCTTAGGCACTATGCTACCAGAGCTCCTGTTATAAACTTTAGTCTGTGGTAAATTAAGATTGATTGTTATCATTTATTGCATAACCAGTGAAAGAATAAAAATGGAGCATATAAGTTCCAAACTAGTGAAGGGGGAAAATGAAATTATGCAAAATATTTGATAAGTTTAAAAGGAGACAAGAATGGAAAGAAAGAAGTACAGAACAGGCAGGCAAAGTAATATCAGACAAGAGAACATTACACTACTTTGAAAATGAATAAGCTACAACCACATGGGGAAAAAACAGATTCATCACTCAAATATAATATTGAGGGAGTAATTATTAAAAATTATAAAATTATTAAAAATCATAAAACATGATTACTCATCTTACATTTGAAAACACACTAGATAGGGAAATAAGAGGCCCAGCGATCCAGGTAAGGGGAGGGAGACAGGCCTCACCCCAAGAAGCAGGAAACAGGGAAGAGCCACAGGATCCATGTAAGGAGCTAAAGGAGAAAAACTTGTCTGTCAGTTTGTCCTACTATGGTGGCTTGTGTGTTGCTATGAGGCTTGAGGCTGTGCCACCAGTGTTTCAAATGCTGGCAAGGTTGCATATGCTGCACAGGCTTCAATGCAGCTTACAGACTCAGACAGATAAGAAAGAAGGAAGAGGCCATCCACTTCTCAAAGAATTGGCCAGGGAAAATCTTATGAATAGCAGAGAAACACTGTCTGGTACATCACTAGGCAACTTTATGAATAGACCAGAAATATTGTCCAATACTGTGCAAGAAGATGAGCACCTTACGTTGGAAAGCTCTCAAAACACAACTGGGAAAGAGCTACCTCTTCAGAGTAGAACCAACTTTAATGATGGATAAAGTAAAGCTCTCGGGACTTCCATTTGCTGATATGGCATGACTCAAGTTGAAGAGAAACAGCTGCAAGCATTCATTAATAATTGGAACATGGAATGTACAAAGTATGAATTTAGGAAAATTGAAAGTTGTCAAAAATGAAATGGAACACATAAAGATTTATATCCTAGGCATTAGTGAGATGAAATGGACCAGTTTTGGCCATTTTAAATCAGATAACCAAATGATCTACTATGTCGGGAATGACAATTTGAAGAGGAATGGCATGGCATTCATCATCACAAAGGATGTTTCAAGATCTGTCCTGAAGTACAATGCTGTCAGTGATAGGATAATATCCATACGCCTACAAGGAAGACCCGTTAATATGATTATTATTCAAATTTATGCACCAACCACCAAAGCCAAAGATGAGGAAATTGAAGATTTTTATCAACTTCTGCAGTCTGAAACTGACTGAACATGCAATCAGGATGTGTTAATTATCCCTGGTGACTGGAATGCAAAAGTTGGAAGCAAAGAAGAATCACCGGTAGTTGGAAAATTTGGCCTTGGTGAGAAAAATAACAATGGAGATGGCATGATAGAATTTTCCAAGACCAATGACTTATTCATTGCAAATACCTTTTTCCAACAACACAAATGGTAGCTCTACATGTGGACTTCACCAGATGGAGTACACGGGAATCAGACTGACTACATCTGTGGCAAGAAGAGATGGAAAAACTCAATACCTTCAGCCAAAATAAGGCCAGGAGCTGATTTTGGAACAGACCATCAACCACTCATATGCAAGTTCAACTTGAAGTTGAAGACAATTAAGTCCACAAGAGCCACAATATGATCTTGACTATGTTGTTGTTGTTGTTGTTTGCCGTCGAGTTGGACCCGACTTACAGCAACCCCTCCTTGGGTTTCCAAGGCAGTATCACTACGGAAGTAGATTGCCCCATCTTCCTTACGAGGAGTGGCTGGTGGGTTTGAACCACCAGACTTCTGGTTAGCAGTCAAGTGTCTTAGCCACTATGCTACCAGAGCTCCCGACCTTGACTATATCCCTTCTGAATTTAGAGACCATCTAAAGAAGAGAATTGATGCATTGAACACCAATGACTGAAAACCAAAAGAATTATGGGATGACATCAAGAAACATCATCCATGAAGAAAGCAAGGGGTCATTAGAAAGATGAGAAAGGAAGACCAAAATGGATATCAGAAGAGACTCTGAAACTTGCCCTTGAGCGGAGAACAGCTAAAGCAAATGGAAAAAATGACAAGATCAAAGAGCCGAACAGATTTCACAGAGCAGCTCAAGCAGACAAAGCCAATTACTATAATGAAATGTGCAAAGACCTGGAGTCTGAAAACCAAAAGGGAACAGCATGCTCGGCATTTTTCAAGCTGAAAGAACTTCAACTTTCAAGAGGAAAAAATTTAAGCCTCAAGTTGCAGTACTGAAAGATTCTATGGGGAAAATATTGAATGATATAGGAAGCATCAAAAGAAGATGGAAGGAATACACAGAGTCATTGTACCAAAAAGACCTGGTAGATCTTCATTCATTTCAGGAGATGGCATATGATCAAGGACCAATGGTATTGAAGGAAGAAGTCAAAGCTGCACTGAAGGAAATGGCAAAGAACAAGCCTCCAGGGATTGTTGAAATGCCCATTGAGCTGTTTCAAAAAACGGATGCCCTGTTGGAGGCACTCACTCAGCAATTCCAGGAGATTTGGAAGACAGGTACCTGGCCAACTGATTGTAAGAGATCCATACTTGTACCTATTCCAAAGAAAGGTGATCCCACAGAATGTGGAAATTATCTAACAATATCATTAATATCGCACGCAAGTAAAATTTTACTGAAGATAATTAAAAAACAGATGCAGCAGTATATTGACAGAGAACTTCCAGAAATGCAAGCTGGATTCAGAAGAGGATGTGAAATAAGAGATATCATTGCTGATGTCAGGCAGATCTTGGCTCAAAGCAAAGAATACCAGAAAGATGTTTATTTGTGTTTTATTGACTATGCCAAAGCATTTGATTGTGTGGATCATCACAAATTGTGGATAACATTGAGAAGAATGGGAATTCCAGAACACTTAAATTGTGCTCATGAGGAAACTGTACATAGACATAGACCAGAAGGCTGTCATTTGAACAGAACAAGGAGACACTGCATGGTTTAAAATCCAGAAGAGAGTGTGTCTGGGTTGTGTCCTTTCACTATACTTGTTCAATCTGTATGCTGAGCAAATAATATGAGAAGCTGGACTATATGAAGAAGAATGTGGCACCAGGACTGGAGGAAGAATCATCAACAACCTGCGACATGTTGATGACACAACTTTGCTTGCTGGAAGTGAAGATGACTTGAAGCACTTACTGATGAAGATTGAAGACTACAGTCTGCAGTATGGATTAAATCTCAATATAAAGAAAACGAAAATCCTCACAACTGGACCTATAAGCAGCATCATGAATAATGGAGAAAACATTGAAGTTGTCAAAGACTTCACATTGCTTGGTTCTACAATCGACGCCAATGGAAGCAGCAGTCAGGACATCAGACAACATATAGCACTAGGAAAATTGGCTGCAAAGGACCTCTTCCAAATGCTGAAGAGCAAAGATGTCCCCTTGAGGACTAAGATGCGCCTGACACAAACCATGGTATTTCGATCACCTCACATGCATGTGAGAGCTAGACAATGAGTAAGGAAGACCAAAGAAGAATCGATGCTTTTGAGTTGTGGTACTGGTGAAGAATGCTGAAAGTACCATGGACTGCTAAAAGAACTAACAAATCTGTCCTGGAGGAAGTGCAGCTGGAATGCTCCTTGGAAGCAAGAATGGCCAGACTTCGTCTCACCTACTTTAGTCATGTTGTCAGAAGGGACCATTCCCTGGAGAAGGATGTCATGCCTGGTAAGGTGGAGTGTTGATGAAAGAGGGTAAAGGCCTCAATGAGATGGATTAACACAGTGGCTGTGGCGATGGGCTCAAGTATAGCAAGGATTAGGGAGCTGATGCGGGACCAGGCGGTGTTTCATTCTGCTGTGCATGGGGTCACTATGAGTCGGAGACAACTCAACGGCACCTAACAACAACAACAACAGGGAAACATAAGTGGTACAACTACAAAGAATGATATGCAAATTATCAGCACCATAATCAGGAGAGTAGTTGGCCCCAGGGATGAGATAAAAATGAGGATTTCTGGGAGAAAAGCAAGGTTCAAATTTTGAGTGTTCAAACATGTATATATGTGTTCAAATACATAGGTGTGTGCTTCATAATGATCCAATAAGCTACATACTTGCATGAATCCTTCATATGTATGTTACATTTGGAAAAAAAAAAAAAGGCAGTTTAAAACAAATTTCATGAAGTATTGTGCTTGCACTGCCCTTAATCTAAGCTATCCTTTTACGGTGTTCTTTCCCTCCACAGACCATTATCCACGGACTTCTCCTTGTCGCCAGCTTCCTGATGTACTTTGTGATAACCTTAGTGTACAATGCCACCTGTGTCGTATGCAACAGCCCCACCAACCCCTATTGGGTGATGGAAGGCCAGCTCTCAGACCCCACTTTCTACCTCGTCTGCTTCCTCACACCGGTCGTGGCTCTTCTCCCAAGGTTTGAGTATGGAGGTTGTTTTTCCCCTAGAACAACCAATCTCTCTTTAATAAATGATTTCATAACTTAAGAGTCAGGAGTTCTACCCTTGCCAGGATTCTTGAGGCTATGGTTTTGGAAACAGGATATAAAATGAGAAAGAACAATGAATGAGCTAGGAGATAAGTAACAAGAACTCTGGTCCCAGGTCAGCCATAGGGTATCAAAGTCATCAAATCTGGTAGTTGTCACATCGTAAAATTCCTACCTTCTTGCTTTACAAGTGTTGTTGTGGAATTGGAAGTCATTTTGAAAAACATTCTGATCTTTTTTTATGAGCTCAAGAGTCTCACACTCAAGTGTCTACAGAGACAAGCAAGTAACTACAGCAAACCAGGTGAGGTACAGTCACAGGAAAAAAGAGTTTCTCAGCTTTATCCTTTCATTGCCCTAAGGAAAGATCAAGTCTAGTCTTCCAGAGCTTCATAGTTTTCTCAGAAATTCAAAATTTGCATGACATCGCCAACTTTTTAATATTACTCAATTTTTTTTTTTAATCTTTGTAAGCCAAATAAATCATCTATGCCCAGGAACCATTTCTGTGATTTCTGATATAAATGTTCTGTCTGATTAGCCTTTTCCAGAAAAATAGCAACAGCAACAATAATAATGCCTTGCCTCCCTTTAGAAGTCACTGTTAGAACACACTTTCCCATCATCTCCTCATTCTGTTTTTGTCATCATCTAGAATTTAGATAGAACTATGGTTCTAGTCCCACTTGCTCATCAGACTGTAGTCCCCAAAGGATAGGGACACGTCCACAAGCCCTATACAAATCACAGTGGGAGCTGTATTATCCCAAGTCAGAGTCCAGTGTTCCATTCTCCAGCCTACACTGCTCCAGCAAGAACAAGAAGTGAACTTTACAATGATGTACCCCTTGGCAAGACAACCTGTCTGAGTCCCCAGGATCTCAGCACTCTGAACATCAAAATCCAACCACCTCATTACTATAATCTGTAGTCAACAGGCCATAGCAACACTGAACATAGCAACATAGAACTTTTTCTATCCCTAGATTAGAGAGCTCTGGTAGCATAGTGCCTAAGGCACTTGACTGCTAACCAGAAATCTGGCAGTTCAAACCCACCAGCCACTCCTCGGAAGGAAGATGGGGCAATCTACCTCTGTAGTGATACTGCCTTGGAAACCCGAGGAGGAGTCACTATGAGTCGGGTCCGACTCGACGGCACATAACAACAACAACAACAGATTAGAGAGACAACCACCTTCAGGCCTTGCTTCCTTTAATAAATTTGGTAGCTTACTTAACATAGTTTGGTCCCCATTTCCTTTTTCTAAGGCCCTTTAGAACCTTGGCTTCTAATACAGAGTTGGAGGCTGAAGATACCAACATGACAAATACTATTGGAGTCTGTAAATTCCACAAATATCAATTGAGTTCTAAGTATGTGCTGTGTGCATGGCCTCCCTGATTAGCCCCTACCACCGTCCACAGCTGTATCTCCTCACTCCCTGACTCAAACATTGAGCTCCGTTAAGCTTCTTGTACTTCCTGCAAGAGCCCATGCCTTCTCACCTTCCTGCCTTTGTTCACTCTGTTCTTTCTGCTTGGAATGCCCTTCCCATTCCTTTCTCAGGCAAAACGTTTTCTCCCTTTACATCATTTCAGATTGACCAATTCCAGAAGCCTTCTGTACTTCACCCATCCTCCTCAGGCTGAAATAGGTCCTTCTCTCTTGTGTGTCCCCATTACCTGGGTGTGTATCTCTGTCATTGTCCATACCATATTTATTATAAATTATCTGTTTGTCTCTGTCTGACCAGCAACTCCTCAAAAAAAAGGAATCCTCCTTATCCTTCTATCCCTGTTACTGTTCTTGTCATGTACTCTGAACTCAGAGATGAATGAGTAATGGATACTTAAAGAGAAAAGAGATAAAACAGGGAACTTGCTCTCAAGAAGCTCATAGTCCACTGGATGATTCAGACGTAGGTTGTTTGTCCATAATACAAGGTGAAAATGTTTAAGATTAATAGAAATCCATAAGAGTATAGAGTGAAAAGGAAATAAGAACAAACATCAAGCCCCATCCTTTCTTCATCTCACTCCAGCAGACAGGGGCCCTGAGAGAGACCATGAGGATCATGGCCTCATTGGAAAAGGGCATCAAATATGTGGTTAAATATTTTTTGTCTCCACTTTTGGAGCAAGACAGGGTTGTGATTACCACTGACTACACTGCTCCAGCAAGAACATGAAGTGAACTTTACAATGATGTACCCCTTGGCAAGACAAGGGCAAGCTTGGCAAGCTCCTCTGTTCTGTATCTTATTTGGGGCTGTGGAAGGAGAACAACATAGATCCCATATTCTTTATCTCAGCCTTGAGCAGGATGTGTAGGAGCCAGAGGCTTCAAGACTGAAGTCGCAATTTGGTGTTTTTCTTGTTAGCTACCATGGAATTGGCTCCCGATTCATGATGGCCCCTGCACAAAGGAATGAGTCACTACCTGGTCCTGTGCCATTCCATGATCAGTTGTGGATCCATTGGGTTTTCATTGGCTAGGTCACTAGACCTTTCTTTCTAGTCTGTCTTAATCTGGAATCTCCATTGAAACCTATTCGGCATTATAGTAACAGACAAGCCTCGACTGATGGATGGATAGCGGCTGTACGTGAGGAGTGTTGGTGGGATTTGAACCCAGGTCTCCCATATGGAAGGTGAAAATTCTACCACCAAAACACCACTACCTTGTAGCAGCAACTAACTCCTTGAAAAGTATGGAAAGATTGTTGACTCAGTGTCTTGAAAAGACAGGCATTCAGCTTTTCCAATTACTAAACAGATGAGGAACAGGTTAGGAAAAACTAGCAAATATTTACTTACTAGTTACCATAGCACATAAGTTAAAACTATGCTTATTCTGTATCATCATAAAGTTGAATTTCCATTTAATTCTGTTTACTAAAAAAGGCAAAGAGATTTTCCCACAGTGAAAGGATTATTTAACAGTTCCAAGAATGGTTGACTTGTAACCTTGAAATTGTTTGTTACAGAAATCTACATGATGAAATGTTTGCATAGAAAACTGCAGTTTTTCACTTAAAGTACTTAAACTATATTTTTTGTGAACTATATTTACCATAATGGATATTGATTTCACTCACCAGGGTTGTGATAATTAGCCCACTAGCTGTGACCTCACTAGTCTTAGTCTAATTTATTCAACCAATATAAAAGGACTATACAGTTTCTTTTAAACTAGGGACATGGATTCCGGAAACTATCTTACAGGTAACACAAAAATAATAGACTAACCTTAAAATGCAGTGCAGCATCATGATTTGCTACAATAGAAGGTACTAGTCTCTGAACAATCTTCCTTTAGCTTCCTTGACCCAACACTCCCTTGATTTTCACCTATGTCTTCAATGGCTCCTTCTCTGTCTCCTTTGCTGGCTCATGGACCTGGTATATGTCAAAGCTTGGTCCTAGGTTGTCTTCTAATTTTATATTTTCTCCATAGACATAGAGAGTACTATTGTGGACTTAAATATCATCTTTAACAGATGAATCTCTGATGTAAATTTCCAGTCCAGACCTCTTGTCTGAATACATCTTTCTAGCTACCTTTTCATCACCTCCACTTGGACATGTTAAGTTGAAGGTAACCAGGAGGGAACTATAACTTAACTCATGGTTCCCACTCTCCTTTCACCACCACCATACAAGAAACTTAAGTCTCTTACATAGTTCCCTTCAGCAAATGCTACACACTGAGGATTCCAGCAGACCCCTGTGTGTTTCCCTGAGTGTTATCTGCCACCTCATGCCCATAGCTAACCTATCACTAAGTCCTGACAGTTCTAATTGCTTTGTGTTTCTCAACTCTACTATTCTCATTTTTACAGGCACCACCATGATACAGGCTATGACACTTTCACCCCTAGATTACTCCAATAGTCTTCCTATTCAGTCTTACTCTGCTTCAGAATCATTACATTAAAGTGATTTATTGTCTATTCATAACCTTCCTAGGGTTTCCCCAGCCCTCCAAAAGACAAGATGAAAACTAAACCATGGCTGGTTCCCAAACCTTGCCTGCTCTGGCCCTGCCAACTCCTTATGTCTCATATGTCCCCACTGTTGTCCTTACTCTCCATACTTCAGGCACCTGCCTGGGTTCTGGTTATCACTCCCTTTGCCTGGTTACCTCTTGTATGTCCCTCAGTCCTCAGCTTAAACATTCCTTGCTCAGGGAAGATCTCCCAAGACAGATCAAGTGTCTGACACTGTCATTGCTCTGTCTGTTTAAAATTATATTCACATGCTACATGAGAGCAAGAACCCTGTCTGTCTTGTTCACAGCTTAATCCCTAGGGCCAGTCCCATTATAGGGACCTGACAAGTATTTGTTGAGCAAATGGACAGAGGAGGAAGGTGGTAGCTTGGGGAAAATGCTTAAACTGAGGAAAGTCCAGTTCCAGACAAGAAATTGATTCTTTCCTGAAATGTAAAGAGGGCTACCTAACTGCCTCCCTGGGTGAGAGGATGTAGCATGGGGAAAAGTTCATCTGACCTTGTGGGATCTATTATAGTCTTCTGAGTTCTCTTCCATTCCAGATTTTAGACATGGTGGAGGGATAGGAGCCTCTCTGCTTAAAAGGCTTTCCAAAAAAAAAAAAACCAATTTTGGAAAAAACCTTAGATGGGATTTGGACCAATTGGATTACTGTTAGATAAAGAAACTGAGAGCCAGATAGGGGATGAGAGCTGCCCAGTGTCACAAATCTGATATATGCTTTCTCCATACACCACATAGTTTTATTCACCTTGTCATCCCTTCCCTTTCCCAAACTTAGAGCAGGGAGAAGATTCCAGGTATAGATAGAGACTCTTAATTCCAGACTCCTCAACAGGCTACACGCAGGTTGGCAGGGGAAAGAGCACTGGCTAAGCCATCAAGGAGATCCATTAACTTCTTGGGAGACCTTGGGAATCTCACCTCATCATTCAGGCCTCAGTTCTTCAAATGGCAAATAGTGATAATACAGTGACTCTATGAAATCAGCAGGGCCATAGATTGAAGAATAGTTACATATTTAGAAACTACTTAAAATTTGTTAAATTCCACTCAGAACTGACATTACAAAGCAGGTAAATTTGCCTAAATTAGAGTAGTTCAGAAACAAATGGACTTCCTCATGTATAATATATAAAGGCAAAGTTTTGGGACCCAGCATGCCTGGTTCTAAGCACAGCTAAACTATGTGTGGCTCAGGATGAGTCACTGAATCTCTAGGTGCCTCAAGTTCCTTATCTATAAAAAGGAGAAACAAAAATACCAACCTCAAAAATTTACTTGGAGAATAAAATGAGATAATAATATGTCTCCCACTTAGAATAGTCTGGTACATAATAAATACTACATAAATGTTAGCTATTTTATTTCATTGTCAATGTTGCCATTGCTGTTGTGGTTGTTGCTGTCATTGAGATCCCCAGTACTAGAGGGGCCCAAGCATACCTTTGATGACTATCAATCAAGAGTCCTATAAAGAGGATCTGCCCTGGCTGGGGAGTTGGATTCTACTGTTTTTGTCTTTGCTAAAATTCTAGAAGTCCACAAAAATCAGAAAATATATTTATTCTGTCATTTCCCACCAGGTACTTTATCCTGTCTATGCAAGGGACCTGTGGGAAGTCTCTGATCTCAAAAGCTCAGAAGATTGACAAACTCCCCAAGGACAAAAGAGACCTGGAAATTCAGAGTTGGAGAAACAAACAGAGGCCAGCTCCTGTCCCTGGAGGGGCTCAGCCTGCCCTCCATCCAGGGCCACCTCTCCCAGCACACAACTTCAGAGCCAGCACACCAAAGAGCTCACCCCCTCCCAAGAGGAGATATATGGAAGACTGGACACTCCATGGAGAGAGGTGCAGTGGAGACCACATGAGGGACAACACATACTCAGAGGACTCCTCAACCAGACTCTCATCTGGAAAACACCTTCTGGGACCCAGTAGGGCAATGGTTCCTGGAGCCTCCTCAAATGGACAGACAAATGTGTCTCGGCCCTCAAGCAGGGGCACCCATCGCAGATCCCAGAGTGCAATGACTATCTAAGGGACCTGCAGAAGTCTGTATAAACTTAAAATGGTTGCCCAAACAATTGCACAAGAAATTGTTCATCTTTATTGAGTCAAGAATGTGTAGTCTTACTCTTTTTTCCCTACCAGGATTGACTTCCTTAGAGGAAGTGTTGGCCCCAAGGAGCTGGAAAAAAAAAAAAAAGATTAGAAACTCATCAACCTCTAGTTTTCTCCTACTACCAGGTAGCAAACAGGGTTTTCATAAGGAAACTATTTCTGTTATATTGAATTCTCAAATTTTTCAACATAGGGACATTCTTCTAACCCTGTACATTATGTGACCTAATGCATAAGGAGCCCTGGTGGCACAGTAGTTAATGCATTCAGCTGCCAACTAAAAGTTCACTGGTTCAAACCTACCAGTTAGTTGCTCCATGGGAGAAAGATGTGGCAGTCTACTTCTGTAAAGATTTACAGCCTTGATAACCCTATGGAACAGTTCTACTCTGTCCGATAGGTTCGTTGAGTCAGAATCAATTCAACAGCAGTGGGTTTTTAAGTTTATAACCTAATGCAACTGGATCATAACTTCCCAAGGTTACAAAAACTGTATCAACCCAGGCAATATCTCAGGATATGGAAGTGTTTAGGTTGTCAAACCATCCCCACACCCCTCAGTGCCAAGAGACAACAGCCTCATCTTGAGTATACTGCAATGATGTCCACGTTAAGGTAAAGATCCCTTCTATCCAGAAAGACTCAGGTCTACTTTTTGTCTTTAAGCCAAAGAAAATCACATCTAAAGATGAAAACTAGATTTGAACTCAGTGCCAGAGACACTTCTGAGGGCTACAGGGTTATAGCTGGAGTGAGAGGCAGGAAGAAAGAGCATGCTAAAGGAAACAGGTTACCAGACCATATGTCCCATAATCTGGGGAATCTTCCAAAAGGACATGGGCAGCATTCTTTAAAAAAAAAAAAAAAAAAAAAAAAAAAAACACCTATTTATTTTTAAATAAAATTACCCATCCTTATTCAGCTTGCAGAACAGGAAAACCTTAATGCAAGAGGTGTTAGAACATTTGCACCCATATAATAGAGCAACTCTGAGACCAAACAATGGCTTAAAGGGTAAGACTAGCATTAAACCTCATTAATTCAGCTAATCCCAATTTACCACCCCCTGGAAGACACTGGTATATGCTTCTTCAGTAGCATTAAGGAGAATCATAGGGAGAAGAAGCATTATGTAAGACTTTTTATCCCTAGAGGTCAAAAATAAAGGCCAAAATATGAAAGAGCTCAAATTAGTATTTAAATAAAAGAATGGATAATAGAACTCTAACTTCAAGAGAAGCTAATTATACTGTGGACAGAGATAGCCTATCCACTGGGTTTTAAAATAAGTCAGGAAGGGCTATTGTGCCTTTTCTCTGTATGTCAGTGCCTCTATTAGGCAAAAGTAATGGGATGAGTGGAACAAGTGTGGCAAGTCTTTGAGCCCAAAAGTCATAGCCACGAGCCATGAGTTGGCCTATTACTTGAGTAACTCGAGCAAAGATACCAAAAAGAGCTCAACACTCAAGTTGGCAAATGGCAGGCTGAGATAGTCCCCTGACCATCTGCTTGGCAGAGCTGTACTAAATGGCCCATTCAGAGCATCAGCTGGAAGCCAATACCCTGGAATTCTTTCACTGCCTTTGCCACATGATGACACCAGCACTGGCCACCTGTTGGGTATTAAGGGGAATCCCAAATGAGGATTTTTAAAGGAGAGGCAGATAAAGATACTAGAAGGAACCAGGTAGGATGTTGCAGGAAAGAACAGTTCAGTGACCTCAGGAGATCTGGGGTTGAGTCTTTGCTCTGCCTGTGTCCTCTCTAGGACCCAGAGCCTTGAAGAAGGATGTTACACATTCAAATTAGGTTAGAACTGCCCTACCTCCCAGGATTAACATAAAGATCAAGCCAAAATTGCATGTTGTTGTTGTTATTAGGTGCCATCAAGGTAATTCCGACTCGTAGCAATCCTATGTACGACAAAATGAAACATTACCCAGTCCTGTGCCATCCTTACAGTCATCGCTATGTTTGAGTCCATTGTTAGAGCCAATGTGTCAATCCTTCTTGAGAGTCTTCCTCTTTTTTGCTGACCCTCTACTTTACCAAGCATGATGTCCTTTCCCAAGGACTGGTCTCTTCTGATAATATGTCCAAAGTATGTGAGATAAAGTCTAACCATCCTCATTTCTAAGGAGCATTCTAGTTGTACATCTTCCAACACAGATTTGTTCCTCTTCCAACACAGATCTGTTCATTCTTCTGGCAGTCTGTGATGTATTTAATATTCTTTGCCAACACCACAATTCAAATGCATCAATTCTTCTGCAGTCTTCATTACTCACTCTCCAGCTTTTGCATGAATACAAGGTGACTGGAAATACCCGTGGCACACCTTAGTCCTAAAAGTGACATCTTTACTTTTTAACAATGTAAAGAGGTCTTTTGCAGCAGATTTGCCCAATGCAATATATCATTTGATTTCTTTAAAGCTGATTTCATGAGTGTTGATTGTGAATCCAAGTAAAATAAATTCTGGACAACTTCAATATTTTCTCCATTTATCATGATATTTCTTATTTGTCCAGCTGTGAGGGTTTGTGTTTTAAGTTAAAGTGTATTCCATACTGAAGGCTGTAGTCTTTCATTTTCATCAGTAAGTGCTTCAAGTCCTCTGTCACAAGAAAAGTTGTGTCACCTGCATATCACAGCTTGTTAATGAGTCTTCCTCCAATCCTGATGCTGCATTATTCATAGTCCGGCTTCTCAGGTTCTTTGTTCAGTATACAAATTGAATAAGATGGTACACATCTTTCCTGATTTTAAAGCATAGGCAGTATTTCATTCTGTTGTTCATAGTGTCATTATTAGTTGGAGCCAACTTTATGGCAAATGACTGTTCAAATGACTGCCTCTTGGTCTATGTACAAGTCCCTTAGGAGCACGATTAAGTGATCTGGAGTTCCCATTCTTCACAATGTTATCCATACTTTGTTATGATCTGCTCTATTTAATATGTTTGCATAGTCAATAAAACACAGGTAAACATCTTTCTGGTATTCTCTGCTTTCAGCCAAGATCCATCTGACATCATCAATGATATCCCTTGTTCCACATCCTCTTCTGAATCTGGCTTGGATTTCTGGCAGTTCCCTGTCAATGTACTACTGCAGCTGTTTTTGAAGTATCTTCAGCATAATTTTACTTACATGTGATATTTTTCCAATAATTTACACAATCTGTTGGATCACCTTTCTTTGGAATGGGCACAAATATGGATCTCTACCAGTCAGTTGGCCACATAGCTGTCTTCCAAATTTCTTGGCATAAACAAGAAAGTGATTCCAGCATTGCATCAGTTTATTGAAATATCTCAATTTGTATCCTGTCGATTTCTGCAGCCTTGTTTTTTGCCAATACTTTCAGGGCAGCTAGGACTTCTTCCTTCAATACCATCAGTTCTTTATCATATGCTACCTCCTGAAACGGTTGAATGGCAACAAGTTATTTTTGGTATGATGACTCTGGATTTTCCTTCCATCATCTTTTGATGCTTCATGTATTGTTTAATTTGTTGCCCATAGAATCCATCAATATTGCAACTCAAAGCTGAAATTTTTCTGAGAAATGTCAAGAATGTTCTTCCCTTTTGGTTTTCTAACTCCAGATCTTTACACATTTCATTAATAATACTTTACTTTGTCTTCCCATTGAAAGCTTCCCTCTGAAATCTTCTGTTCATCTCTTTTATTGCATCATTTCTTCCATTCACTTAAGAAGCTTTGGTGGCTCAGTAGTAACATTTGGCTGCTAACCAGAAGGTTAGTGGTTCAACCCCACCAGCTGCTCTATGGAAGGAAGATGAGGCAATCCACTTCTATAAAAGTTTACAGACTTGGAAACCCTATGGGGTCTCTATGAATCAGAATCGACTCAATGGCATTAGGTTTTGTTTTGTTTTTGTTTTGTTTTTGTTTTCATTTTTTATTCAAGAGCAAACTTCAGAGTCTCTTTTGACATCCATTTTGGTCCTTTTTTTTTTTTTTCTGTCTTTTAACAGCCCTTTCTTTATGTGTGATGTTCTTCATATAATCTCACAACTTATCTAGTCTTCAGTCATTAGTGTTCAATGTGTCAGATCAGTTCTTGAGATGGTCTCTAAACTCAAGGTCATACTTTGGCTCTCATGTACATGTTCTAATTTTCTTCAGCATCAATTTGAACTTGATATGAGTAATTGATGGTCTGTGCCACAGTCAGCCCCTGGCCTTGTTCGAAATGATAACTTTGAGCTTCTCCTTTGTGGTTTTCCACAGATGTCGTCAATTCAATTATTGTGTATTCCATCCAGTGAGTTCTACATGTATAGCTGCCATTTATTGTTGAAAAAGGTTAATTGCAAGGAATAATTTGTTCATCTTCAAAAATTCTAGCATGTACTCTTCAGTATTGTTTCTATCACTAAGGCCATTATTTTCCAACTACAGATACTTCTTTGCTTCCAACTTTCTCATTCTAATCAACAGTCATTATCAATGCCTCATTTGATCAGCTTCAGACTGCAGAAATTGTTAAATTTCTTCAATTTCTTCATCGTTGGTATTAGTGGGTTGTGTGTAAATTACGTGAGGAATGTGAAAATCTCTGGAAAGCTGTAACATCTTCATTAAGAACACAAGGGATTTATAATTCAGAGCTAAGAGAAACAGAGGTAATGAGAATATTATGGAAATATCTGACCCCTCCACCTGAATAGCAAAGCATGTCCCACATTTTGATGCTGCTCTCTTACCAGAGTGACCAACTATCCAGTTTTCCTGGGTGTTTCACAGTTAGAGCACTGAAAGTCCCACATCTTGGGAAACCTTCGGTTCCAGGCAAACATGAGGTTGTCACCTATTCTTACCTCTTTTGGAAACCCAACCAACTGTGACCGTCCAACTTGCCATCTCTCTAAGGGAAAAAAGTTATAAC